GTTGGACCACAGCATGTTTAAACTGTTGGGGAACTATACCAGAAGAGAGGCTGCTGTTGATGATGTCCAACACCGATGCACCAACACTCGGTAGAACCTCGTGAAAGAAATGCGGGGGAAGAAAGTCACAGGGAGAGCCAGATGGCTTCTTCTGGCGAACTACATCCTCCAAAAGCGTCAAGGACACAGTTTCAAAAGAATTTAGCACAGCTGAACACGGAATATGGACAGAGGGGTCAGATGCGGTATTTGAGACCGGAGTCCTAGCTGTAGAGACCTTATCAATGAAAAACTGAAGGAATCTGTTGCACATCTCGGGTGAAGAATCCGAGCAAGTAGGCAGAGGGGGTTTGAGTACAGAATCTATCGTTTTAACCCATATGCTGCAGTCGATGTAAATAAGTTTATATAACGCAACATACAATTTTACAAAAATTGTAAAAGTATTATTCCTGAATATTTATTTTACTTTCTGTGTTAGACGAGGGTACGCAAAGGTTATTAAAGGCATCAGAGAACCGACCAGCAGTGCGAGGGTTAAAAATTCGGCGGTTGCAACTAGGAGCGGCAGATTTTACAGCAGCACGCGATAAGACTACGTCAAATAAAACTGCCATGTGATCAGAAATCCCATTTTCAAGGACTTCCAGATTTGACACCAGTAGACCATAAGCAAGGACAAGGTCGAAAATATGTCCTTGTTCATGTGTCGGGCTGGTCACATATTGCACAAATTAAAAGAGTCGATAAATCTTCAGAAGTCCTTTGCTAGTGTTTTTTCCGGAAAGCACACAGGGATATTAAAATCCCCCATTTGGAGGATATGATCATATCTCAGCCTGATTTCCGCAAGAAAGGTTGAAAAACCGCTTAAAAAGTCTTTGTTGTACTTAGGAGGGCGGTAAATGACAGCGCACAGCACCGGGAAAACACGACCGACTTCAAAGAAGGTTACTTCAAAGCTGGTGGTTGATGTGGTGAATGTGCACCGTTTACATTTGAAAATGTTCTTAAAGATACTCACCGTTCCTTCACCACGGCCTGAGGTCCTCGGGGTATCGAGGATGGCAACAATTCAAGTAAAGCGTTGTACTCACCAGTACCTGCCCAAGTCTCCGTCAGACACAGGAAATCCAAGTCATTGGAAAGGAAATACTCCCTCAGAATATGGGTCTTGTTCGTCAACGACCGGGCGTTTAACAAAGCGATCCTTGTGGGAGTGGCAATGGGAGGGATTGCCTCTTCCGATTGCCGAGCCCGGGGGAATTCCCTCAAAAGCTTTCGCTGGACTCCTCGCCGAGAAAGGCGCAGAGGGTAGAAATGCCGTGGCACGGTGGGAGAGCCAACGACTGTTATCAAGCACGAGGCAACGGGGTCGAGGGCACGCTACGACGGAGTAATTCCGTGCGTTCGGGAACGAGCAGCTATCTTAGTGAGTCTCGGATCCTGTTTTAGCTTCATAAGCTGACCGCTACGTTTGCCGCGGCGGCGGCGGCGGCGCTTCCGTGAAGGGGGCGACCGAACGCGGAAGAGATTAGCCGGCACGTTAGCCAAAATCGGAGGTAGCGTCTTTTCACCACCGTCTTGCCAAAACGCGGCCGAATCTCCGACGTGTTCTCACGGGTTGCCAGGAATAAACCCTGTATTTTTATCGTGGACTTCGTGTCGTCATTCATGCCGCATCCTGAGAGTGCTACATCTGATATGCTGCAGTCTTCAATACTTGACATTTCAAAAGCTGTAGATTTAGTTGAAGCGTTATTTAAGATATTGAGTGATTTCGGGCAAGAGTCGTTTTTTGATAATGTGCGGAATGAAGTGTTGAATGTTTTTGGGCAGTGAGATCCATCACCACCAGCTGGAAAATGACCAAAAACGCTCAGCTCTAAACTCAGCCAGAACTGTGTACTTACCACTCTTGGGCAGAGAGAGCCAGAAAGAGATAAAGACTGGTTTCATACAAACTTTTTCTACCCTTATGCTCATTGAGCTTGAAAGACGATTTTCAAGCAAAAACTGTGAAATCATGAACAGCATTCCAGCTCTAAATCCCCAAAAAAGATACATTCATCAAAGAGACAGATCTGTTTTCATTTGCAGAACTGTAAGATTCAAATGTTGATGACCTGGGGCATGCACTACATCAGTTCAAAAGAATCTTGGAAAGAAAAATCCAGGCTGGGATGCAGAGACCCTCTAGTACAGTGCAGCTCGTACAGTTCATTGAACCATACAAATACGTTTTTTTATTTTATTTATTTATTTATTTTTAGCTCTACAGACTCTGTAAAATAGCTGTCACAATCCCAGTGGGCCCTGCTACTTGCGAAAGGAGTTTTTCGAGATTAAAGCTGGTGAAAACATACCTCAGGTCCACCATGAATGAGGATAGATTAAGCAACCTTGCGGTACCTAGCATTGAGTCTAGGAGGGCAAAAGCACTCAATCTTGACTCATTTGTTGATCGGTTTGCCAGAAATCACAAAAATCGCAGAATATGGTTGCTTTAATGGTAGGGCAGCTTAAGAATGTGATTATTATACTGTTTTGTTTTGTTTTCCTCGTCACTGTAATGTTATGACTGCAATGGTTTCAAAGTTTGATAAAATAAAAAGTCAAATAGGATTTCAAATCTGTCTTTTTTGCCCTGGGTTAAATGTGCCCCTCTATAAAAACCCCTGGCCCCAGCCAGGCCCCCTCAGTGAAATTGATCTAGAACCGCCACTGCTAACAGAGCGCAGCAAAGGTGTTTAAGGAAGAACTGCCCAAGAAATACAGTAAGATGTCCATAAATGAGGCACTTGAGACTGCCAAGGAAAGACTCACAGCATTGACGACTCGCCTGAAGAGGTACATGAGAGCGATAGAGGCCAGGAGAATAAACAGAATGTTCTCCAACAACCTACCTATGGTTGACTCTCAGTGGCAATGTATCAAGACCGAAACAGATCCATGAAAGCCGAGACAGTGCAATACTGGAAGGGAGAAGGACGTGTCACAGAATACCAATGCCCAATGGCTGGCAGATTTACAAACAGAGCACAGCAACATCCCAGAACAAGAACCAATCTTCATGGCAGTGGCCAATATCCAAGCAAGAATGTCAAAGATGAAGAATCAGACAGCACCAGGGCCCGACAACATCCATGCCTACTGAAAAAAAGACGCTGACTGCTCCCCATGAACACCTGGCAGCACAAGTGAACTAGTTGCTTACATCAGGGACCCACCCGCAATGGCGAAACATAAGGTCAGACGATCCTCATCATGAAGGAGCCCCAGAAGGAAGCAACTCCATCAAACTACCGATTTATAATCTACCTCAGCACCACATGGAAGCTCCTATCAGGTATCATAGCAGACAAAATAAATTGGCTTATGTATCAGTACACAAATTGAGCACAGAAAGGCATTGGTAATAACAGCAGGGGTTCCAGACACCAACTACTGGTCGATAGGACAATCACCCATGTCTGTAAAACAAGTAGCACCAACCTGTGCACGGTCTGGATTGACTCCAAGAAAGCCAAAGACTCAATGCCACACACATGGATACTGAAATGCTTCCAACTGTATAACAGCAACAGAATTCTAAGGACATTCATCAAGAACTCAGTGAGGCTGTGGACTACAACTCTATTCAGGTTGTACCCCGCCTGCTCCCCAAAGATGGCACTTTTGGTCCGCTTCGGAATGATCCCAGCAACAGTGGCAACATAACTGTGTCCTCGTCTGTCAATACTCGAGGTAGCTGTATTAGGGCCATTACGACGTCGCTGTATTAGTGTCATTTATTGTAGAACCTGTTGTGTGGTGAGAGTGAGAGAAAGTCTGACTGGCTCAAACGCTGGCAGCTGGCTTCGCCTTTCACCGAGGCAGGGAAGACTGAGTTCCCAGGTCACAGTTAGACTTGTGTTAATTGTATTTTTGATGGTTATATTTATATTTCTGGATATTATTGTGTGATTAGTACAGAATTATCTAAGTGAATTTGTTGGTAAAAAAATGGACCGTCTTGAGTCCATAATTCATTTCCCCTTGTAGGTTATGGAGAGTAAAAACTGGAACATAGACTTGGTCTGCGGTACCTCTGTTGGAAAACTCGTTCACGTTTAATCTGAATAAAATACCACAGATGGCTGAAGGCCACTGCCCTCGAAAGCAAAACAATTTTCAGCATCAGACATAAATGTTTTCTTTCCCTTATTAACAATGTAAATTGCTGCTTGGCAAAATCTGTGAATGCAATCAGCTACCCTAATTGTTGGGCTTTTATTCATAGTTGAGCCCCGACTGAACACAAAGTGACGCTGGAATCTCCTCACTAAACCTGTCATTACTCACCACCTTGAAAGCTGTATGAGCAGGCAATGCTTTTCTCAGTCGAGTACACATCTCCCGTCATTACCCAATATCACCTGGATGCATGACAATTTGACTGATGCTCAAAATTTACATTATATTCTTTGAAAGCGGAAAGATTTGCTTCTGCTCTTGGAATGGCTGTTTTATGAAATGCAGGCAACATCAATTCCATTTTGTTTTCCTTTCATCTGAAATGCCCAGAGGCTGTCAGTTTATAAACAAAACAAACAAAAAAATAAATAAATCAAGATTATATATTGTTAAATGGGCAGCCCGATAGTCGAGGGGTTAGCGCGTCGACCTCACAGTGCAGAGGTCGTAGGTTCAGTTCTGACTCCGGCCTTCCTGTGTGGAGTTTGCATGTTCTCCCTGTGTCTGCGTGGGTTTTCTCCAGGTAGTCCGGTTTCCTCCCACATTCCAAAAAACATGTGTTGCAGGTTAAGTGATCACTCTAAATTGTCCCAAGTTGTGATTGTGAGCGTGGATGGTTGTTCGTCTCTGTGTGCCGTGTGATTGTCTGGCAACCAGTTCAGGGTGTCTCCCGCCTACTGCCCGAAGACAGCTGCTAGGCTTCGGCACGCCCCGTGACCCTTGAGAGGATAGGCGGATCAGAAAATGCGTGGATGGATATTATTAAATAGTGGCATTTTGCTTTGCCTTCAAGAAAAACTGACAGGCAGGCAACAAGTGACCTGACATCACATGCGCAGCCAAAATCCCATCTGGGAATCCGATCTATGCATAGAATGGCTGATTGAAGAAAAGGGGATTTTTTTTCACAATATGATTGGAATTGTTTGGCTTGTTCAGAGTCAGTTCAGAGCAGGTTGGTCTCGTAAAATTCACCAACATTAGTCAAATTTGTCTAACCCTACTATGGCATGTACAATTTGCTGTTTCCTGTTTGTCAAAATCGGGTTCAGCTTTGTATCAAAATTTCCAATATTATTTTGTCATGTCCTGCATATTGCAGTTTCTCTCTATCTTTTTTTTTTATCATGAAGAGGCTTTTCACACACTTGATTTTCTTATTGTAATTACCGTTTGGAAAAAAAAAAGAAATTCTGATAGGGTGAGATGGGGTCGTATTCTGCCTTGCGAGATGATTGATGACTGAGTGGCTTCTCTCCCTCCGTCTGTGTGAATGTGTTTACAAGAGGGGGCCACAGAGCCCGGGACATTTCTAAGTGAGGAAATTGTTAAGAAAACAGTCATTTGGCAACCATAATCTCACATGTGCAACCAGAAACATTGGGCTCAGTTCATTTTCTCTATTTTGAGTACAGAAATGTTGCTTCGAATGGGGAACAATTGTGGCTAGTTGTCAGCCATCCACAAAAATTACAACGGTTCAATATTCGGCGAAAGCATCAGCTTTTCAACAGAGTTACAGGTCACATTTAGTGTGTGTGTGTCAGAGGCGATTGCTCTAAGACTGCAAGGGAAGCTCAGTTGGGGTTTCCAGTCCATACTCCACACAGATGTTTCGGTAGACTATGCCAGCCACCTGGTTGTGGCGTTCCATGTAGGCTTTGCCTGACAGCATCTTACACCCTGCAGTTATGTGTTGGATCGTCTCAGGTGCCTCTTTACACAACCTACACCTTGGGTCTTGTCTGGTGTGGTATATCTGGGCCTCAATGGCTCTGGTGCTCAGGGCCTGCTCCTGAGCAGCCAGGATGAGTGCCTCTGTGCTGTCCTTTAGGCCAGCCCTCTCTAGCCACTGATAGGACTTAAATGTGCATGTAAATGTCTGACATTCATTTTCCAAAAGATGTTGATTATTCATTAATTTAGACCATAACAGTAAATACGACCAAATAAATGAATGGCAGTCCAATGCAACTATCTGAACAAAAGTTTTCGTAAATTTGTAGGAGGTAATTAAAAAAAAAAAAAAAATAATCCTAATCATTCATAATGACTTTTGCCACAGTGTTAAGTGGCGAAAAAGCAGGCTGTGTGGAAAAAGAATAAACGTCCAGGATCCAGGAAGGAGATTTTCCAGTTTTGT